GCACCCTCTGCAGCACCCCAGAAGAAGAGTCTACAGGAGAAGCCTTGCCACATGCCTGCGTGTCCTTGCTTTCTGGGAGGCACTGCTCCTGTTTGCTGCTGTTGCCATCCTTACTGACATTAGCCAAAAGACCAGTGCCTCTTCAAGAACCCTCCAGGCCGTTAACTCCAGATTATGATGGTAGAGCATCTGGCTTTGTGGACTGAGAAGCTACTGGGTTCTCAGCCTCTCTGGCATGTAGGTGGACACTGCTGGCTGACCCAACTTCTATAGTACAAGCCAATTAAATCCCTGTTATAGTATATGCAATATAATATGTCTTATATATATTCATTCCATTGCTTCTGTTCCTCTAGAGAACCCTTCCTAGAACACAGCAAGGGATCTGATGATCATTAATATGGATGCCCTGCCAATGTCAAAAGCTGAAAACTTTCTACACGCACACCTTTTGTGGACCGTCTACACTATGTGGTGAAGTTTCAAGCCTTACTACTGCTGAGTAGTTTACATTTCATCTTCAGAACTGTCCTCTGAGGAAAACACTATCCGGTTCCAATTTTACAGAAATGAGAGGCATGCATTGTGTGTTTCCCAAGTTCAAGAGTGCACACACAGGTAGCAGGAAGAACTCAGATTGAAACCCGGGCACCCAATGCATGGGGTGCTGCATTTGGAACCAGGGAGCCTGACTTCCTAGCTCATGTGCCTCGTTTCCCCCATGGACTGAAACATGAGATCAGGCCCTCTCTCTTCAGTTTCCCAAGCTACCCTCACCCACACCTATCTTGGGGAAAGAGAGAACCTCCTTCCTATCCAAGGGTCATGCAATTACTTCTGAATTCTATCTTTTGTGCTTTACTGGGTGCTCTAGTCCATCAGTCATTCCAAGGAAAGACAAATATTTAAGTGCAGGAACAATTAGGTCCGTTCTAAAGGCGAAGGAGCTGGAAATATCCAGAGACTTAAAGCAGATGGCTAAGGTATATGACTACCAGGGGACCATATCTCACCTTTCCAAGGACAGTTCCAGTTCATGGGCCTCGTACCTTAGCTGGAATAAGGATCACTTCAATCATTCCATTCCCAAAATCCCCACTCTGAGTAGGAAATTCTGCTGTCACTAGAAAATCCTGTTGCTAGAGTGACAGAGATAGAATCGGTCCCCAGAGCTGTGTGACTGGACCTCAAAACCAGGAGTCTGTTACCATAGGCTACCCCCTAAAACTCGAAATTATAGAGTTGAGAAGCCAGCCATGGCTGTCCATTCAGCAAACAGTCATCACCTTGTGTCTCTGGGGCACCACTACATGCAATGACTGATGAAGATTTAAAGATCCATCCATCTATTTCATGCATCAAGACAATTCTTGCATACCATTTTAGCTTTGTCATGTCTCCTGGTGCATGTGTTGGGCTAAGGTCATCTCTATAGGCCTCCAACTCAGTATACCCTCTGGCCAACCATGAGTCTTCTCTCTTGACACTAAAAGTGTGGATTCTGAGGGCATGTCTGTCTATACCAGGAAGCATCCCGAACACTAAAATCCATCTTTCCCCCCAGTGTATTGCATTTCATCCTTGCTTAAGCTCCTACAAATAGTTAAAACATTCTACAAGCTATAGTTAGAATTTATAAAGTGCTATATATCTATAAATTTTGTGTAGAAAGATAAAAACCAAACTGCATTATGTGTAAGTATTTATGTAAGGCCATTTTGTAAATATTTTCATCTTTCCCCTCTTATGATAAATCTTTCCGCCACCCGCTGCTTTAGGGCCCCAAATAATACACAGAGACTTCTATTAGGTACAAATGCTGCTTGGCCAATGACTAGGATTTCTCATCTGTTAGCTCAGTCTTAATTATCATAAATCTATATATTTTATAAGACTTATCTTATTTAGGATGCCCTCCATTGGTGCCCTCATCCCGGGATCACAAGTTGATTCTAGAGGAAGAGAGAAGGGGTCCCCTTCCTTCTTGCCCTTGTTTATATATGAGTTGCCCTGCTATGTTACTTCCTGCCTGGATCACCACTTCTTTACTACATTTCCCAGAATCCTCTGACTCCTAGTCCCGTCTAACTTGCTGCCTCATTGGCCAAACAGTACTTTATTCAACAATCAATAAGATGAACATACACAGAAGTACATTCCCCATCATTCCCCAAACATATACTTATTTTTGTAGAATCATACAAATAACAGGGGTTTTAAAAATAGTCATATTCGAGGGGTGGAGTGTGGCTGTACTGGCACGTCAAGCCAGAAGCAGCCACCGGGATGGACGAGTTTCTCATGATCTGGCACCACAAGACCACCATCCTCACGGACGCCAAGGAGTCGAGTACCGTGTTCGAGCTGAAGCACATCCTGGAGGGCATCCTCAAGCGGCCTCCGATGTGCAGCGGCTGTACAAGGATGACCAGCTCCTTGATGATGGAAAAACTGGGCGAGTGTGGCTTCACTAGCCAGACAGCAGGGCCACAGGCCCAGCCACAGTGGGCCTGGCCTTCCGAGCAGATGCCTTTGAAGCCCTGCGCATTGAGCCCTTCTCCAGTCCTCCAGAGCTTCCAGATGTGATGAAGCCACAGGATTCTGCAGGCAGTGCCAATGAACAAGCTGTGCAGTGAGGGCCCCAGGCCCACCACCCCTCTAGATACCCATTTCCTCAATAAAGATTGGGATGCTGAAAAAAAAACAGTCCTATGCATTGTCTTTATTTTTATAATGGCTCTGAAAATATAAGGAGTTACCCATTCACCATTTTATGCTACTAGCACTTTGGACATTTCTCCATAGTGTTTACGATGACTAATTCTATCAGTATGCAGGATATCCTAATGATTAAATTTGCTGAAACTTTGGTTGTTTTATCATTGAAATTTATTTTTTTTCTATTTGAAGCTATAATAAATAGAGGTTGAGTTGAATTTATAACATTTTCCCTGTTTTGGGGTATTTCCTTTTTTCTATTTTTTTATTTTAATTAGAAACAAGATTGTTTTACATGTCAATCCCAGTTTCCTCTCCCTCTCCTCCCTTGGCCCCCACTAACTCCCTATCCCACCCCCTTTCTGCTCCCCAGGGAGGTTGAGGCCTTCCAGGGGGGATCTTCAGAGTCTGTCATAGCATTTGGAGCAGGGCCTAGACCCTCCCCAGTGTGTCTAGGCTGAGAGAGTATCCCTTTAGGTGGAATGGTCTCCCAAAGTCCATTTGTATGCTAGGGATAAATACTGAATCACTACCAGAGGCCCCATAGACTTCTGAGGCCTCCTAACTGACACCATGTTCATGGGGTCTGGTAAGTTCCATGCTGGTTTCCCAACTATCAGTCTGGGGTCCATGAGCTCCCCCTTGTTCAGGTCAGCTGTTCCTCCAGGGGTCACCAGCCTGGTCTTGACCCCTTTGCTCATCACTCCTCCTTCTCTGCAACTGAATTCCAGTTCAGTTCAGTGCTTAGCTGTGGGTGTCGGCTTCTATTTCCATCAGCTGCTGGATGAAGGCTATACAATGGCATATAAGTCAGTCATCAATCTCATTATCGGAGAAGGACAGTTAAGGAAGCCTCTCCTCTGTTGCTTAGATTGTTAGTTGGTGTCATCCTTGTAGATCTCTGGACATTTCCCTAGTGCCTGATTTCTCTGTAAACCTATAATGGCTCCCTCTATCATGGTATCCTTTTTCTTGCTCTCCTCTATTCTTCCCCCAACTCAATCTTCCTGCTCTCTCATGTCCTCCTCTTCCCTCTTCTCTTTCTCCAAGTTCCCTCTCCCCTCCCCCCATGCTCCCCATTAGCTTAGGAGATCTTGTCCCTTTCCCCTTCTCCAGGGGACCATGTATGTCTCTCTTAGGATCATCCTTGTTTCCTAGCTTCTCTGGTGGTGTGGATTGTAAACAGGCTGGTAATCCTTTGTTCTATGTCTAAAATCCATATATGAGTGAGTACATACCATGTTTGTCGTTTTGTGACTGAGTTAACTCGCTCAGGATGGTTTCTTCTAGTTCCATCCATTTGCCTGCAAATTTCAAGATTTCAGGCAGGATTTTTATTAGCAAATTATACTGGTTCTACATCCTAGAAGATAAGAAGGTGAAAACAGGAAGTGTGCATGTGGACGTGATCAGCTTCAGGGTTAGAAATCTTTGGCTAATGGGGCTAGCGTGACCCTAATGGGGCTAGCGTGACCCTTCAAATACATCGTCCACATCGGTTAGGGCAGGTGCAGACCTTGGCTTCTCTGGTACCAAGAGCTGCAAATGCTTTGCTTGCTGCAGGCTACAAGACAAGCCTAGAACAGCCACGCATGTTAAGATCTCAGGAGACATGGCTCCCCAGCTGCTGCACTCAGGCAGGGGTCTCTGTCAGCAGACTGGGTGCTGAAGTTGAGATTCTAAGAGGTAACAGCTCACTCAGTTGTGGAGTATTGCATATTAAAGGCACAGGAAGCACGAAGCCTTGAGTTATTCTAAACACTACTCAGACCCACCAGCCCCAAACACACGGTGGATGGGTGGACTAAGTATTCTAAAGCCCCCTTTGTTTTATTTATCATTATGTGTTGGATTCCCTGGAACTGTAATTGCAGACGACTGTGAGGTCCTGTGTGGGGGCTGTGAGTTGAACCCCCATCCCCTGGAAGAGCAGCTAGTGCTCTTAACCCCTGAGCCATCTCTCCAGCCCCTCAAAGCTTCCTTCGTGTCTCGTCAGATTGCCTCTTAGTTTGAGGGGAAAGTCACCTAAAAAGCCTAAACCCATAACCATATGAAGTTTGGTCAATCCTGGGAATGTAAGCTAACACTCCCTCTTCTAGAAAGGAGTTACTGGAAGGCTCCAGCAGCTTCAGGAGCCAACACCTCCACTCAGTCTGTCTGGTACCCAAGTGGCCAAGAGAAACAGGTGGTCATGGGAGTTGATTTTTGATCTCACAAAAGCTCACTGGCTTTCATTGGCAATGTCAGTTCATAATCCCTCAAAGAATAAACAGATCTTTGAATGGAGATGAAAACTGTCATTTATTTCAGTTGAATTTGGTTTGTCCTGTGATGGTGTCAAAAGGGAAATGAAACAGAAACAAGTTTATATGACTTGCCTTTAATTTCTAGAGACCAAATAACATATATACATTTAGGACATTTCTAAATATTCAAACAGACCTTATTATTGTCATTGTTGCGTCTCAGTCTCTTCAGATACTAACCAGGACTACTAATGAAGAGATGCACATTGCTTATTGGACTAAACATCATTACATTAATTACAGACTTCTGAATACCAAGAGTCAAACAGTCACTACACTCCATGTGTTTTGCTATGTGTGTGGTTTTTGAGGCTCCGTTTTATAAAACGGGCTTCGTTCTGTTAAGGAGTCTAAAACCCTGACACACATATATGTACGTACATATGTATTTATGTATATTGATGCACACACACACATGATCCTGAGTGAGTGTGTCTACATATTAACATATGTAACTTGAGGGTGGCTTATTGTGACAGATCATGGAGGGTTCACGTTAAATCATGACAGTAAAACCTTTAGAAACTTGAACTTGACATATACTATTGCTGCCGCCATCCAGGAAAACTTAGACCTGTGGTTACAGGAGGCACAGCGGGTCCTAGGAAGCGTTGTGGCTGCTGATGGACTGATTAGAAGGTCCCCAAGACCTGACATTAGTGGTCAGAAGTAAATTGATTTGGGGGTGCAGTTCTTGAAAGTGAAGCTTCTCCATGCACCCCAAGAATGTGACACGTGATTACGGCTGAGGTCTGCAACCACTTTTAGGGTTTTCACTGAGGAGAACCTGTGTGTGTCAGCGTGAAAGGGTTTCATGAAAAGTGCACAGCCAATAGGAGGTTACCTTCTATAAAGCAGAAGCCAAATGAGACTAATACTGCCCATTTGAGAGTCGCTGTCCCAGGGAAAGCAGCACAATACAGCCTCCATGAGCCCAAGAGCGGTTGGTTCATACTGACTCACACAAATGTCAATGGGAAGGGATACTTGTACACCCGCCATCAAACCACCTATCAGGGCTCCCACTGAGAAAGCACAGTTTTGTTTTCCCACATAAATGTCCTCCTGTACTTTAGCCATATATCTTTGTGTATGTGTGAGTGGCAGGATAGTGTCTCTCTTTTGCAATGTCACTTAAATTATATATATATTTCTGTATCCTTGTTAATTTTACCTGTACTATTTTAGTCAGGAGAGCAATGGGTCCTAGCTATGTCAAAGGAAGAGGAGAGCAACTGGCAACGTCACACAGTCTTCAAGTAAACAGAGTCCCTGATATAACTGGAAAGTGTACTTTTAAAGGCAACAGGAAAAAACAAGCTGCTCATGGCAGCTTACAAAGCAAATGGGCTTTGGCCCTAGAGTCTTTTAAGGCACAAAACCTGGTAGACAGCTGTTGTAGATGGCCGGCACCTCAAAATCAGATTTGTAAAGAACAGCTGGAACATTTAAATAAAACCATAGGCCATTTTGTTAGGACCCGAAATCAGTGAATAAAGATGGAGTGGAAAATCCAAAGACACCAGTCAGTGTTTTGTACATGAAGGATTTGTTGCAGAGTGAAAACCAAGTGTGCTGTAGTGTACAAAGTGCAGCCCCCTGAGGAGTGGGGGACACCTTCAGAGCAGACTCCATGTCATGGTAAGTCACAAGGCTGTTTCAAAAATTGTTAAGGCTGAGGGCTGTCCATTGGAGGTGTTCGTAACCACAGGGCTGGTGAATGCTATATCTGGATAATTCCTTCTGAAGTACACCTGTGGAAAAGAGGCAAAGGGAGAAAGAACATGAGTAAGATTTTCAAATCTTCCTCTTGGAGGCAATGCCTTTCTCAGCACCCAATGAGGTGCAATTAGAAGCCAAGTCAAGTCCTCACTCTGGGGACTATCAGCCCCCTTCCAACCCTTGGTAGGGCTGAATGCCGAACGACTTGTAGATCCACTTTAGGCCTGATCACTTTGATTCAGATATACTTTATCACACCATTAAATTGATAAGCAAAATCATTTTACTGGCTCAAAACCCAGAGATAAATTAAAAACAGGGGGACAAAGAGGCCAGGGACTCAAGCATCTGCACTGAAGTTTCTCATTTTCGAGCATAAAATGAGCACAATGGGTTTGGATGTTAATATCAGGTTGTAATCCCTATATATTACAAACTCTGATTGACAAGCATTGAAATGCTGCCGTCTATGTATGAAATATCCCGGCACTTAATTTGTGCAGCAAGGCAGCCATGGGGCCTATAGAAACTCGATCTGTGGATAGCGGGCCACAATCATGAAAAGGGAAGCAAATGCTGTAACAATGACCCCACCAAGCGACTTCTCTGAAATGGAAGATGATACCGAATAATAGGGCAGTTCTTTGCCGAGCCTTTGAATTCCTGAATTCTGCCAATTCCAAGGAAGAGATGCAGGCTCTCTGATAAATGTGTAATCAGAACATAAAGGGAATGAAACGCTGTCAGGTCTCAGTGTTCCACGATCATCGGTTTTTAGCGGCTGTATCATATCTGGGTTCCTTGACAGACGCATATTACAAAATGAAATAATGTCAAGGCTTGTAAGCGCTTATCTCCAGATGTATTTGGGTGAAAAGGGACTTCAAATGCAATTTCTTTTTCTCCTTCAAAGAAGAATGTGCAAAGTTTTGTTTGAGTCTTTAAAGCAGAAAACACAGCGTCTCCATGAGCTGACACGCGTCATCAGTGGGTCCTGTGATGCCGGAGACACTCTATAAAACCCCAGCTGTAAATGTATTCGTGGGTGCTGTCAACAGAGTTATCAGAGGGATAATGGACTTCATAGGCTACAGGGCACTGAGACACCCACTTCCAGGATAAGTATACCTCCCTCAGGTTGCCTTGCAAACTTCTCCCAAAATCCTACAACATGGAAGATTCAGTTTACAAAAGGAATGCCACTTAAGAAGAAAGGTCCTCCTGGGCTGAACTTGCAGCTGTCTCCATAACAAGGGCTTTCAAAAACAGGACTTGTTCTTTTGGGTGTGTTTGTGTATATTTAAATTTCACCTCATCTCCGCCTACCTACTCTTAAAATTTCCCAGCACCCACATGACAGTTCACAACTACCTGTAACTCTAGTGCCGGGGGTTCTGACGCCCTCTTCTGGACCCCATGGGCACTGCATGCAAATGATACCCACAAACATGCAGGGAAACCATTCCTAACTAAAATGGTCTTGGTTTTCCAGTCAGGAATGCTTTGCTGAGAATCCTTTCAGGAGTGTAAAGTCCCTGGTTTCACTTTTTCTACCATGTTTATTTTATTTGTCTATTTATCTATTTGTTTGTCGTCTGTCTGTCTGTCTGTCTGTCTATCTATCTATCTATCTATTTTGAGACAGGTTTTCTCTGTGTAGCTTTGGCTGTCCTGGAACTCACTCTGTAGACTGGGCTGACCTTGAACTCAGAGATCCTCCTGCCTCTGCTTCCCAAGTGTTGGGATTAAAAGCAAGCGCCACCACCACCCAGCTTCTATCATGTCAATAACACACTCTGGATAAAGGTATGGTTGAGACTAAGCATCTCTTTTTAAATTTAATTCTTTAAATTTTTGTTTTTGGGGAGGGAGACAGGGTTTCAAGTATCTCGGGCTGGCCTTGAACTTTGAACCCCTGCCTCCACCTCCAAATGCTGGGGTTGTAGCATGTGCCGCCATCACCATACCCGATTAAAAACAACACAACACAAAACAAAACAAAACAAAGCAATGCAAGGCTACACAGCATCTATTCACAGCGCAGGTGATGAGGTCAAAAGATGGCTGCCATTCTCCACTGGGCCCTCAAGCTGTGGGGCTCAGTCTTTCTCTGCCTTTCCCTGAACACACAGCGGACACTACCACATCTACTTAGCCTTCCTCCACGGTGGCTGCCTCATCTGTAAAATGAGATAAAGAAACCTTACCTCACAGGAACTAATGAACGGCTGCAGACTGCAGGCTGAAAACATTCCAAGGTAAGTGCCAGGTGTGTTAATGAAGGCTGCTGGAGAAGTAGCCCCTTAGTGCACCGAGAGCAGCCTTACAGCCTTGAAGATCCCCTCTTGTGATAGGGCAGGATCTTTGCAGAAGCCCAGAGTTACTGTGGTAATCTGGGAGGTGAGCAGGCACAGCTGAGAGATGACTGGAGCTTTTGGAACCAGCACCTGCTGGCTGGGTGACTCGGGAAGTTTAGTGGGGGTCTTCTGCCCCAGTTTCTTCATGTGGCAAATGGTAACTATGGCCCACCAGAATGTTTACAGAGACAGAGACATTGCCTGCTATAACGCTTAAGTCTGAGGTGACTCCCTCCCTCTCTCTGAGGCTGTATTCAGAGTTTCTGTAATGTGGGCTGAAACTAAGGTTTATCATTAACTTGTCTGTCAAGCTACCATATGGGAACAGAGCCTTCTAAAGCACAGTGCAACAAAACCTTTCATGGACAGAGGGGAACAGGGGCTTTTATTTACATTGCATTTATAAGACACCATTCTGTGTGTTGAATTAGGAGTCAAGACTTAGTTTATTCTCGACAACCAATAGGAGTCTGGCTCATCCACAGTATTCTCAAGGCCTCGTGTCCTTCCACTTTAAGGGAGTGTCTTATGTCAGACTGGCATTACTACCATGTTAAAGAATACTGGAGGCTTAGTCCTGCTTTTCAAATAATTGAACAATAGATTATCACATTCTACACTTTGGAGGTCACCTTAAACATCAAAGACAGGGAGAAATAAAGAGTTTATAGATGCTCTCATCTGAAACAACGTTCCATCCACAGCCATCCCGCACCTATGTGATCTGGAAAAGTGGTGATGGCAATTAAAAGAGGTTCATGCAACCTGTAAAACACACAAGCAAAAAGCAGAATGGAACAAGACAAACTGATGAGGAGGAAAACTCCACGATCAGAAGACAACTGTGGGAAGACATCTGCAACACGGTGGAAGAAGATGGAGCCGAACCGCCAGCTCTGCAGAGAAAGAGAGAGAGAGAGAGAGAGAGAGAGAGAGAGAGAGAGAGAGCCCCTGGAAACACGGCAAAGCAATGGCTGTAGACAGAACTCAACTGACAGAAGTCAGCAGCGAAGAGAAAAAGGAACAGATCTGAGAAACGACTGGTTTCCCAAAGGCAGCATGGAGATTACTACTGCAGAAAAGACCAACAGAGGGAGACACAGCAATAGGATTGAGCGAGAAAGCAAAATAAGTGAGAATTAATATTTTAAGAAGATTAAGGAGAAACAGCTTTATAAAACCGACGGAGGTGTATGACACACACATGAAAAGCACTGAGAGCACAGTGTAACAGAACTATTAGAGATAAAACATACCTATGATTTCAATAAATGTAAATAGGCTAAACCATCCATTTATAAAAAGGCTAGGATCATATCTCAGAGCAAAACCCAACTCCATGTATGGGCGGAAGGCACACTCTGGATACCAATGACAAGGACAATACAGAGCAAATGAAGACAGGGTGAAGGGGACAAAGCCACCATCTTAGTTTTGAGCCAGCTAGAATTAAAAGGCAAAGCCTTAACTGGACACAGAAAAGTTGTTTGAATTGTCATAAACGCCTGCAAGTTGAGAATAATAAAAATATGCAAAGCGGAAGTAATAGGAGCTATAAAGAGAGGCTTGTACTTTCAGTACAGGGCATTCATTTCTATACCTGTCAGACGAGAAGAACTAATGCAGGACAAAGACTCATATCGTGTAATTAATAAAGCATATCTAAGGAAAATTGCTAGCTATGAATCTTTAAAAGAGAGCATTCAAAAAACACTTAGGAAGATTTCCAGTGCACTGGGGCACATGAAAGAATGGGCAATTTCAAGTAAGCAGACATTGTACAGAACAATTATCCACCACAAAACAATGATAGTAGAAATGTGAAGTAAACTAGAGAACAACCCTATTGCCAGCAAACATTCTTCTTAAATAATTTCTGGGATAATAAGGAGATCAAAACCTGAACTGTAAAATATATGTATGACAAAAAGCTTTTTTGATAGAAGCTGACTGTACAAAAACTGAGGTATGGCTAAAGCAGTATTCATAGGAAAATTCACAGCCTTAAACATTTATATTACAATTGGCATAATTATTGTAGTTATTGTATTACAGTTTTGAGTATTGTAACAACATCTATATTAGTGAGAATATAAGCAAATGCATTCAATAACTAAAAAGCAACAACATAATAAACCCAAACCAGAAAGAATCAATCCAAAGTAGACACTGACCAGCTAGCCACACAGCAGAACTGAACAACTAGTAAATCAACCGGAATTAAATCTCTGGGGTAAAACTAACTAATATAATCAGAGGGGAAATTGGCAGTAAAGGGTGAAGAAAGGGTAACTGTAAGGTAGCTTTACAAAGAACGAGATAAACGTAGACACTATCAAATGGGAACACAAAGGAGGGCTGGGGCTTAGCCCCGTGGTAGAAAGTGTTCAGTGTATATAAGGACCTGGGTTTAATCCTTGGAAACACAAAAGGGAAAGAGAGGAAAGGGTGGTTCTTGTTTGTGTTTGATAACCAGGAGGGGTGTAAACCCACACACCCTCAGTTAGGCACACACTGCATCAGCAAAACTCTGCACAAGGGGAGGAGCTGTCAGACAAGACAGCAGAAGGGCTGAGTGACTTACTTTTCACTCATTCAGATTACAGGGGGGGGAGGGGGAGGCGGAGGGGTGTGGCTCAGTGGTAAAGTGCCTGCCACACAAGCACGAGAACCGA